CGAAGTGCAGCACTGAATTGAAGTGCTTCTCGAACAGTACTTCAGAAACGTGAACATCTTGTTGCTGGACGTATCCGGTACGACGCTGGAATGTAGAGTCAAGAGGATTACCGTTAACAAGCATATTACCAGTGACAACACCAGTATCAACACGCTGAGCAAGCACGTTCAAAAGGGTAGTCTTACCAGCACCCGACTCACCCATTAAGGCAGTAAGTTTTCCAGGCTTTACAAAACCATTAACTCCGCTCAACAATCGTCGCTTTTCGCCTTTAACAGTAATATCATAACTAAGATTTCTCCAGCTGAAAATGTCACGTCCACTTTCAATACTACCATATTCCTTTTCCACTTCTTCAGGATTTCGAGCTTCTTTAACAACACCACCGCCTTGAGTATCTTGGCCTGTTTCTAAATCCAAAGGTTTTCCGCCTTCTTCAACAGCCTCTTTCACAGTATCAGGTGCATAACCCCGACGGAAAATAAGGAATTCACCTTTAACATCACTAAAATTCAAAGTCTCGCTGGCAACAACATTTACAAAAATCAAGAAAGCGTAAAAGCCAATGATAATTGCAAGGTTTCTCCATATTTGACGTGTCTTGTAATTAAAGTTGACAAGAAGGTAGTTTGAACCGTCAACAGAAGCTTGACCAGGCTGAGCACTGGTGACAGGACAGACTTTATATTGAGTAGAAACATTATCGTAGTCACTTCCGGAAGGAATCATGTCAACACATTGAAAAGTACGAGCCTTGAACTCGTTAATCATTAGAGACTCAAAACCAAACTGTACAGGATCAACATATGAAATCCAACGGAACCACCACCCTACATTAATATTGGGGATGGCATAACCCGTATAAATGGAGATAGCCAAGACACCCATACCACCCAAAGCAGAAGCGGAAGCTATATTAGGCATGATCGCAGCCAACGCTCTGAAGAAAGTAGTCATTGTAAGGGCAGAACAAAACAAAAATACGTAAAATGTCCAAAAACCGTCGGCAGTACGACGTAAGTCAGTTAGAAAATAAAGAATAATAGAGAAAACAGTAACATTGATAAAACGAAAAGGAATGTCAACGATAAGGCTACTAATGACATCGGCCGCTGGATGGTAAAGAGCGGAAGAACGGTGCTTAGCAATAATAGGACGTTGAGCAAACATACTGGCAATTTCGGAAAGACTTTGAAGAGCCGTAAATAATACAGCAAAGAAAAGTACACCACCGCGGGTGAACATATCATTTGTATTATCCTTGAGATTGTAAAAGATAGAACCTATGATTAGTGACTGAAACGTAAAAGCAAAAGCCATGGCTCCAATATAAGCAGGATCATTAATGAATCGTTGCCACGAACGAATTAAACAGTAGCGTAGTTGCATCCAAAAAGTGATAGTGTAAGGAGACTTCTTGGATAAATGTTTTGATTTTTCAGAACGAGCACTTTCACGATACAATTCATGTTTCGTGGCAGCGGACATATCGTCATTAACTTCCCTTGAGGAGCGAGTAGTAGACGAAGGAGAGCTTTCATCCCATTTTCTGTCATATTCATCCATTTCACGAAGAAGCTGGGAATACAAGGGATGCTCATGCCATATACGTTCAAAGTCTTCAGCAGTACGTGGAACACGGTCTTCCCAACCCTCTTTAGGTGTACGAGCATTGGGATCGGTGATCGCGGTCAAAAATTCAGGAGTGGTTTCACGGGGATGGCAAATGAAGCCCATATCAAGAAAGTAGTCCTTAGCCTTGGAGGCAGGGCCATAGTAAATTTGACGACCAGAATAAAGGACACAAACTCGATCAAAAAGCTCATAAATTTTTTGACTAGCTTGATAGGCGGTAACAAAGGAAGTCACCTGAAGTTCCTCAGCACAAATACGAAGAGTATTGGTGAATTCATAAGCGGTACTAGAATCCAAACCACGGGTACTATTATCCCAGCAGGCGATGGTTGGTCGAAGAGCAAAGGCCTCACCGATGGTAACACGTTTGCGTTCACCTCCGGAGACACCACGAACGAATTCGTTACCGACCTTTGTCTTGTAAGTGTGTGTAAGACCCAAAGTTGTAGCAACGAGATCGCGGACTCGGGCCATGTATTCGCTGCGTGAGAGGTTGCAAGGACGATTACGGGGAGCACGCACACGGGCAGCAAAGTTAATGGTTTGGCTAGTAGTAAGAGAGGGAAAGTGGACATCGTTTTCACCGGAGTAAAGAATATCACCTGGGTAATATTTTTTCATTTCGACGGCATCAATACCATCGAAATGAAGAGAGCCTTCTACACCATTATAGTGTTCTGTTTCTCCAGTTATTGATCTCAAGTAAGTAGAACAACCGGCTCCGGGTTGACCCAAAACCATAACAAGCTCACCAGCATTGGCGAGGGCATGGCTATGAGAAAGGATGGCCTTTTTGACGACCTGTCGCTCTTTGAAGTGGCGGTAAGGAATAAGAAAGATGTCAATGAAGGTAGTGAGATACTCATAACCAGAGCCCAAACCATAGATGCTGGTATCACGCATACAGACACCAGTTGTACGGGAATGAATGCCATCTCGGGCGAGTGCATCTTTATAGCCACGAAGGTAGCGTCTTAGATCAAAATCCTCACCTAAAGCAAAAGGATCGCCGGTAACATTATTATCGGAGGAGACAGAAGAGGAAGTAGTAGGAGCATGAGCGGAGGAAGACATGATGTCAATGAAATAATAAGTAAAAAAATCAATAGTCCATACAAATGTGGTAGAAATGAATAGGCAATCAAAAGAATAAGCAATCAGCAGTTAAAAGAAAAAATTAGCGAAACCCGTAAAGATGTCTCTTTGTTAACTAGTTTAAATAATCCAATTCAACAAGAACAGATCCAAGATATAAATACCAATGATCGTAAAACAAACTAATATAATAACGACTAAAAAAAAGGAAAGAAGAATTAACTGTTAACTTTGTCAATTGTCGCTTTTCTCAACAATTCTGCCTGAAAAAGGCAATTGTTTGGGAAAGTAAGCAAGACAAAGAAAAGAAACTTATTAGGAACTTCTTAGCATAGAACAGAATTCAATAAACTAAAAACGATCGCAAAAAACCAAAATTACTTAATGGATTACCTAATGGGTCTTGTTGGAGTGACCCTAACCAAAATTGGAGGAAGAGAACTCTCGAATAGTGAATTACAGAACAGCAAGGAACAGCGTCAGAGCGAGACTGAACCCGTTAAAATTCAATTACAAAACATGCAAATAAAAACCGCAATCATAAAAAAAAACAAAAGAATATATATATTAGGCATAAACTAAGATCATTATTAGTACCTTACCCTGAATTACTAAGCATTAAACGTATATATATACCTTCCTATACATATTTATGCATACTATTTTTCTCTTTTTTAGGCACTTTTTGTAATCTTTCTGTAAATCCAGGTACTCTTGATACGCATAACCCGGAAAATGTAGAATAATAACAACACAGCAAAGACATTAAAAAAGACATAACCGATGACGATACCAAAGTCACGCCAGCGATGATTAAACTTCATACTGAATTGTGCCAAAAATTGGTCAGCTGTTTTGTACTTACAATACTGACAATTGCTCGTATCATTAGGGTTCAATAAATTACCGGCACTCGGACTCTTCAAAAAATCGTTCAAGTAGGATTGGCAAGTCTGCCCCGACGGGGGATTCAAAATACTCAGTTCATTAGGCTTGCATTCCACCGGAAGTTTATGCAGCAAATCACTCAATAAACCTTCAATAATGTAGGTAAAGGGTGTCAAAGAGTGCATCCAATGCCAAAATTTCATCAAATTAGCAAGTGGTTGCATGACACCATTAAACGTAATGATGAAAGTGAACGCCAAACTGTTCACGACGGATGCAGTTTGAGCATTCGGACAGGCACTAGCAACAGCTTGACCGAACGTGGAATAGTACATTTGAAATATCATGTACATTAACCAAGCATAACCTGTTCTGTCACTCGGATGTTCCAAATGTTTATAAAACTTTACAGGATAAAACCAACATAAGAAAAAAATCGTACCGAATACAAAATTGAATGGAATTTCAACAAGAATCGCGGAAATAACAAAAGAGATCCAACTGTAAATATTGGATGGTTTTTCTCTCACTTCAAACACATTTCGAAGGTCGATGAATTTTGGCTGTAAACCATTAATAAGAGGAACTGCAAGCACGGTTGCCATGAAAACTGCAAAAAGCTTGTTTTGCATGTTTTGAGAACCTAAACCTTGATTATAGAAAGTGAAACCAATAAATAATCCTGCGAAAATATTCAAGAACATTTTAGACATTAACAGCGAAGGTTCTCTCCAATAAGAATGAAAGTTCCTAGTCAACACAAATTTAATTTGGAACCATAAAGGCATAGCATATGTATGAGTATCTTCTTTTTTAACCTCCCTCTTCGAATTCGCTTTAGAACTTTCAATCCTATCCAATTCTTCAGTTGTATGTTTCCTTTCTTCCGAGTTATTCCAAACTTCATGCCAATCACGGTCAGTCTTCGCAGTAGCACCGGCGCCAATCACATCCAGAATGTATTCAGCTGGATTGGCATCCGGAGGGCAAGGAGTGGCTCCATGATTAGCAAAATATTCCAACAAAGTCTTGGAATGATCACCGATATCACCAAAGTACACCGTCTTACCACCTTTCTGAAGAAGCAACAACCTGTCAAATTGGTCAAATAAGACAGAACTAGGTTGATGAATCGTGCAAAGGATTGCTTGACCAGCGTCAGTCAGCTTACGCAGAAACTGAACGATCGACCATGCCGATTGACTATCCAGACCAGACGTGGGTTCATCCAAAAACAAAAGAAGAGCTGGCTTGGCCGCCAACTCAACGCCAATAGTAGCACGCTTACGTTGCTCAACATTCAATCCAGAACCAGGGGACCCGATGATAGCTTCGGCATAACTTTCCATCTCCAATAACTTAATAACACTCTCAACGTATTCATACTTTTCAGAAAGAGGAACAGAGGCTGGCTGGCGAAGTGCAGCACTGAATTGAAGTGCTTCTCGAACAGTGCTTTCAGAAACGTGAACATCTTGTTGCTGGACGTATCCGGTACGACGCTGGAATGTAGAGTCAAGAGGATTACCGTTAACAAGCATATTACCAGTGACAACACCAGTATCAACACGCTGAGCAAGCACGTTCAAAAGGGTAGTCTTACCAGCACCCGACTCACCCATTAAGGCAGTAAGTTTTCCAGGCTTTACAAAACCATTAACTCCGCTCAACAATCGTCGCTTTTCGCCTTTAACAGTAATATCATAACTAAGATTTCTCCAGCTGAAAATGTCACGTCCACTTTCAATACTACCAAATTCCTTTTCCACTTCTTCAGGATTTTGAGCTTCTTTAACAACACCACCGCCTTGAGTATCTTGGCCTGTTTCTAAATCCAAAGGTTTTCCGCCTTCCTCAACA